TTTCACTACTTCCCAAACTTCTTCCATTGTAAATTCAAGTTTAAGTACCTCAACACACTTTACATTACCAATTGGTACAAAATTTCCAGACATCTTTGGCCTAGAGGGCCACTCTTCAGCATATGCCTTTGAGAAATGTTTGACCACATCAAGCCACACAAGCTCAAGATCTTCAATGCGGACCGCATTAACTACCACTGAGTCCACCATATTTCTTCTTTGCCTCTTACTTGCAATAATATGAAAATACCTCGTGTTTCTATCACCATGATGTGCCCAATTCAATCTAGACTTCTGAAACCATATCTTGTCCTTCCTTTTTCTAAGCTTCCAAACTAGATGTTTTGCCTTTCTTCTAGATTCAACTTCACTGGATGCCAGCTCCCTAAATTCTGCTAATAAGTCATATGAATGCAAATCCTTCTCTGCTTTTTTTAGTTGCTTCTCAACCACTCCAAATACTTCTATGTTCCATTTTTTCAGTTCAACTTTCATACCTCTTAACTTTCTTTGCACTCTATATCCAGCCCAGCCTTGTACCTGGTACTCAGATCAAGCTTGTTTAGCAACTGACATAAAACCTGGGTGCAATGTCCATGCATTAAGCAACCTGAATGGTCTTGGTCCCCATTCCCTCTCATTTTCCATCAACAAAAGTGGACAGTGATCATACACCATTCTGGGTAAACCCCACATCTGTAGCCTAAACTTCTCCAACCATACTGTGTCCAGCAAGAACCTATCAATCTTACTCCACCGCTCCCCATCCAAAGAATTACACCAAGTAAATCTTCTGCTTAACATTGGAACCTTCACCAACTCCGGCTGGTTAATGAAATTGTTAAACTCTATCATTCCTCTGTCTCTTCTAACATATCCTCTTCTATCCTCAATATTTCTAATTTCATTATAGTCCCTTCCCATACACCAAGGCTTTTGGAAACTTGCTCTAATATTAACAATAGTTTCCTACAACACTGCTCTTTTGGACACATCATTAGGACCACATACATTTATAAAAACACATTCAAATGAACCAAGAGCTATACCTGATATGAGTAAGAAATTTCTATGACAGCAGCATTCCAATAGCTGAAACACCTCTGGATTCAATATACTCAATATCCCTTTAGCACTACCTTCAGAATCAACAGCCATAAATTCCATCCTCTCCCACGGCCAGATTGATCGAACAAACATCTCATACATACTTCTTTTTTTCGTTTCTTGAAGAAGTAGAACATCCACTTTTTTATCCTGCATAACCTGTCTAACCGTTTATCTACTCTTCCCAACCCTCTAACATTCCAAGACATTACATTCATTGATCATTAGTTTATACTCCAAATAAACCCCAAGCTTTTGGTCAATTAGGTTTGACCCAGCACATCATATTTCCCATTTTTAAATTGTTCTTCATATTGTAGCTCTATCTGAATAATTCTTTGAATTACTTCAGTCTATTTGCCTTCACAGTTCATCCCCAAACGTTGACCAAGCTGCACGATTGCTCGTGCTTCCTCAACACTCTTCTTCCTCCTCCAACTCAGTTGACTGTCATTTGACAAAGAATGAGATAAAACAGCAGCTGCTGCCCTGAATACTGCTCATCTTTGAAACCTAGATAAGAATGAAGTTTGATTTCTTTGAACTCTCCGCCTCCCCCTTCCTCTAGTACCTCCATATCTTCTCAATCTCATTCGATTAATAGCATCTCTCACTACCTGTTCTGATTTATTAATTGTTAACTGCACATCCTCACTTCTTCTAACGTCTAACACCCTTACTGGGTTCAAATTGGGTTGGGCCCCAACACCATATTCTTGGCCAGATCCCCTAATACTAACTTCTGCCTCAGGCCCACTTCGATCACCTCTTAACTGGGCCCCTTCTAACACTACCTGAATATTGATACTAGGCCCAATTTTCTCTGACCCACTAAGGCTTTTGACAAACCCAGGGGTCACAATTTCCTCTTCACCAACTATTTCCCCAACTACTTCCCCAAACTTATTCATTCTTCTTGGAATCTCCATCTGCAACTGCTCCTCCACCCAACATCTCACTCCACCATTTGGTTTCTCCATATTCCCCTTTGTACCAACCAAACATGTTTTTGACACCCGACTATCACTACCTGCCACATTAATATCACCTCTATGCTGCACAGCTTCAATTATTCCATCCGTTGGTATCATGTCAGCTCTACATTGGGCCATCTTATCACAACATTCCACCTCATCATCCCTGACCTTCCTCTTGTCATCTTTGTACTACCTCTCTGGTCTCCTTCAACATTTGAACAACTATCATTCTTCTCCTCACCCTCAGGATCGATTATCAGCTTTAATCTGTCAACAGAGAAGCAATTAGTACCCGCTGATATCTCCAAAGTCTCAGGACATTCACAAACCCTTACTGGGTACATTACTCCATTGCAGCTCAATCTTACAGTCCTATTAATAAACTCCGTGGCTTTTGTTATAACTCAAATTTTTCCACAATAGAAGAATACATTGTTAATGGTGTCTTCATGCAACTGCACTACTTCTTACCAGACAACCCCTATACTTCTGAATGTGGCCACACTCCATAAATTAAATGGAACGCCATAATAACTAATCCAAACACACCGTTCTTGGATAACACTACATCCCGTATTCCACTCCTCCATTGAGCTACACTGTTCAAAAATCCATTCCTTTAGTTTTTCCTTCTACCTTTTCATCTCCATAACAGATGGGAACGTTAGGATTACAAGTCTATCTCCATCTGCTCTAATTTTTACCTCCTGAAGACCCGTCTTCTGACATTCCTCCTTAAAAACTGAAAAAGAGAAAAAGGTATGTAGCTTGATTATCAAGCTTTCATATAACCACCCATTACCCACTTCTAATACTTGAACCACAACTTCCTCTCTACCCTGTGTAACACCTTTTCCAACAGCCTCTACATAAGTTTTTAGCCCTCCACAATCTTGTCTTTTCTATATTCCTCCTCTGTGAGCATCATGGTTCCTATTCATTTTCGTACTTTGAATCCTCTGATTAAATCCCCTAGGCTGCCATGGTCTCCCCTTACAAACTCAGCCCCTTTAACCTTTAGAGCTTTGTCATCACACCACAACCCATCAGCCCTTTGAACTGCAATCTCAGCTGCAACCGAACAATCATACCTTACGAAGCCAAACCTCGAACCTGTGATCTTCCTCCTTTTCTTTGGGATGAACACATCCTTTACAATGCCAAACTTTGTAAACAGCCCAAACAACTTTTTCGGATTCATTGATTCAGGAATGTTATCCACAAATACTGTAAATAGTTCACCCACCTCTGAATCCCTTGTAGTCTTGATCCGTCCTCTTCGACGAAATACCGGTTGCCAACCTCCACTATCGTTCCTCTCCATCTTTTCTTTTTCAGAACATGTTTTATGATTGCTCTCTCATGTGTCATTCATTACCAAAGTATAGTAATGACAATACAATACTATTATAACAAACACCATTAAAGATATTCTAATATATTCTTGATCCTACTCACCTTAATGTTTTTTTTTTTTGGTGATCCACTAATTTATATAAGAAGATTAGAAGAAAATAAAATTTAATGTTTTTTTTTTTTGGTGATCCACTTATTTATATAAGAAGATTAGAAGAAAATAAAATTTCTAAATTTTTCATCACAAAAATATGCCATATGGTGGAGCACGTGCTTGTTAAATTTTTTCCATAGACAAGGCAGTAGACTAATCATGTCAATCATTTAACTTTTTTTTTTTTGATCAGAAAAAAAGAAGCTTCATTGATGAAAATTAGTACAAAGTACAAAATACAATACACCAATAAAGAAAAGAGGAGTGCAGGAGCATCACAATGAGCTAAATGATCCCAACTAGGTTGGCACCAAAAAGCCTATCCTATCATTTGCTAGCACCCCCAAGTTGGTGAGGAACCAACGAGGAAGAAAGAAAATATGATAACCAAAAAACCAGCAGCTAGACAACCTCTGGTATACACCAGCTGCAACCATTCACAGAACAAGAACAAAAGCAAACCAGCAGAACAGCCCACTAACAGGACATACAAGTAACTAGCAAGCTCAACAAACAACAACACAAATGAGGATGAAGTCTTCTTCCTTTCTCCATCTGCTCTAATTTTTACCTCCTGAAGACCCATCTTCTGACATTCCTCCTTAAAAGCTTAAAAAGAGAAAAATGTATGCAGCTTGATTATCAAGCTTTCATATAACCACCCATTACCCACTTCTAATACTTGAACCACAACTTCCTCTCTACCCTGTGTAACACCTTTTCCAACAGCCTCTACATAAGTTTTTAGCCCTCCACAATCTTGTCTTTTCTGTATTTCTCCTCTGTGAGCATCACGGTTCCTATTCATTTCCGTACTTTGAATCCTCTGATTAAATCCCCTAGGCTGCCATGGTCTCCCCTTGCAAACTCAGCCCCTTTAACCTTTAGAGCTTTGTCATCACACCATAACCCATCAGCCCTTTGAACTGCAATCTCAGCTACAACCGAACAACCATACCTTACGAAGCCAAACCTCGAACCTGTGATCTTCCTCCTTTTCTTTGGGATGAACACATCCTTTACAATGCCAAACTTTCTAAACAGCCCAAACAGCTTTTTCGGATTCATTGATTCAGGAATGTTATCCACAAATACTGTAAATAGTTCATCCACCTTTGAATCCCTTGTAGTCTTGATCCTTCCTCTTCGACGAAATACTGGTTGCCAACCTCCACTATCGTTCCTATCTATCTTTTCTTTTTCAAAACCTGCTTTATGATTGCTCTCCCATGTGTCATTCATTACCAAAGTATAGTAATGACAATACAATACTATTATAACAAATACCATTAAAGATATTCTAATATATTCTTGATCCTACTCACTTTAATGTTTTTTTTTTGGTGATCCACTAATTTATATAAGAAGATTAGAAGAAAATAAAATTTCTAAATTTTTCATCACAAAAATATGCCATATGTGCTTGTTAAATTTTTTCCATAGACTAGGCAGTAGACTAATCATTTCAATCATTTAACTTATTCAGCTAGTTAGTTTAAAATAATTATATTCCAACAACATTAATAGTGGATTAGTCAAAATTTTTATTTTTATTTTTATATTCATCATTGCTTTTATATACTATACTATGCATTTGTACTTCTCTTTGCATTTTTATTTTTTAAAAAAGAAATAATACTTGCAAGGTGAAAAAAATGTTATTGGAGAGCATACATAACATTTAATCACCTAAAATAAAACAAAATTATAAAATGATATACAAATTCACTTTTTAGACATAATGATGTGTTAAGAAGATGATTGTTTGTTAATTAGAGAATATTTAATTATCAACCAATCATATTTTTGACATTATGTCAAAAAAGTGGTTGCAATTTTTAGACCTAAATAGCAATATTCAACAAAAATATTACCCCGTATCTTACTAATTTTAAATCTACACTATACGCTCCACTTTTAAAATAATTATATATTTTTCAACTAATCATTTTAACTAAGATTGTTGGAGATGTTCTCATGCACATAAAATTATTAATTTTAGTTTTGAAATATTATATAACATTAGTTAGGTAGTACAAATTAAAAATTTTAACACATTTGATGTGTGATTCTTTATTTATAAGCAAATAATTAGTCAATAGTCATAAAATATCATTTACTTTTAGCTATGATTACACAACGAAAAATTTTATAAGTGATAGAGCAAACTCATCTTAACAAGTAGTCGTTCATTTAAGACATTAATAAGACGGCCGCCAACCATTGCAAAGTCATCAGAGAAGTAGATATCATCAACCATTGATGAGGTGAGGAGGGTGATATCAGAAAAACCAAGAAATGGCTGCAGCAACAACAGTTGCAAATTTGTCTTCCAATCCAAGAAGTGGCTGTTCTTCTCTTTTTGAAACTCTGAAGTATTTTCTCAACTGTCTGTGTTTAGGGAGAGCTGCAGAACCTGAGGACACATCTGCAGTTCCTTCTTCAACACCAGACCCATTTGCAGCTCCTACTTTCACATTAGTTGTAAGTTAACACACTCTCTCTCTCTCTCTCTCATAGAATTATGTGTGTGTGTTTCGTGTGTATACTAATCTTATAAAAACTAACAAATCTTACGAACTTTTCTTACTCACTGATATCACCCTTAATGCATTACAAAATTATTTATTACATCACATAAGAATTAGTAAGTGACTGACTACAGTAAGTGAGGCCTCAAGCATCAAAAGCATTATTGAATAATCTCAGGCTAAGTCATCACAAATATGTTTATTTATTTATTTTTTGAGCAGCAAAGAAAGGGAAATTTATTGATGAAACAGATAACTATTACATCAAGAAAAGGAGGAGGATAGGAGCAAAAAACATATGCGCGAGTTGGTGAGAAACCAACCGCAAACACGAAAAACCACCCCACCCCAAAACAACCAAACAGATCACCATCTACAGTAGAAGATTTGAACCAGCAGCAGAAAGTGAAGCCCAGAAAAACCAGCAGCATTCCTCACTTGAAGGCCATAACTTCACCAAGGCTTGACCTGAATCTTCAACCTCCAATTCTGATACAAACTTCACAGCAACCAGATTAGCAGATTAGCAGACTGCTGAGCTTCAACCTCAGAGTATGCACAATTGCTGCCCAGCTATTCGTGCTCCCTTCACCTCAAACAATGCCTAACCTGATGAAGATTATGCACAATATCATGCACAGTGTAGTTCACACCTCGTATCCTACTCTTGGCCCAAAACGCTACCCTTGTCTTCACCAAATCCTCCAAATCAGCAAAATTAGGATGAGCATCATTAAACAAAACATCATTCCTCAACCTCCAAATCGACCACAACAAGACTAAAGGCACAATTTTCCACACTTCCACCTCTTTTTTCTTAATCGAAGCACCAACCCACCAAAGCAACAAGTCCTCAATAGACCCAGGGATTACCCACCACATATCCCACCAGCTTATACGTATCACAAATATGTTTATTAATTGTGCTATGTAATAAATGAAAGAGTAAATTATACATAGGATCCTTGTATTTTTACCAAAATTTCGCTTTGATCCTTTTGCTTCTAATTATAACAATCAGTATACATTTAAATCAAGTTCTAGTTTTATCTTTCCGTTCATCTATCATTAACAAAGCTAACGGAAATTGAAAGTGAAGTGATTAAAGTGAGATTTTAGTAGAAGTGTGAGGGTTAAAGTGAAATTTTAACAAAAATGTAACAGTGTTAATGAGACAACAAAAATGCCACGTATGTTTGATTAACAGTAGATGAATAGAAGGGTAAAATTGCAACTTGACTTAAAGTATAAATGATTGACTGTTATAATTGGAAGTGAAAAGATTTAAATGAAATTTTAGTAAAAGTGAATGTAATTTACCCTAAATAAAATTAAAACATATCTGCCACTATCTTGTGACTAAAATGATTTTCTATTCTCAAATCTTCCTAGGCCATGTTGGTTTGAACGGACTAACACTACAAAAAATTAAAGTTTTAAAGACCAAAATTTAAGGACAAAATTATTTTTTTATGGACTAAATATTTTTGTTGTGAAAAGTATAGTTATTATATTTTTAGCAATGAAAATTAGATATTAGTGATGAATTATTATCCTTTTGAGACCAAATTTTTTGTCTCAAAAAATAAACTTTTTGAGACCAAGTTATATATTTTGTTCCTAAAAATGTATTTATTAGTGACATTTTCAAAAATTTGTCGCTAAAAGCCTTATTTTTTACTTTTCAGGACAATCTTTTAGCTAATATTCTCACAACGATAGAAATTGGTCGCTAAATGTCTTTTGCAACAAAATTTTTACTTTTAGAGAGTGAAAAATTTAGTCTCTAAAACTCTTATATGTTGTAGTGTAAGTAAAGGGGCTTGTGATGTAATGAACTGATATTTCTAGGATATATAGTTCCTATACTATTTGGCTAGATATGATGTGTATTCCATGTTTGTTTTCTCATCGTCTAGAAATGACTATTTTAGTGATTCTTATGTTTAGTTTGAAAATTATAAAGTATATTGTTTGAAAATTATGAAGTATATTGTTTGTTTGAAGTATATTTTATTTTATTTAAAATATGTTTTATTTCATTTTATTTTTATTTCAAATATATTTTATTTATTTTATAAGACCACTTTTAATTTTATTTAAATACGAAATTAGAAGTATATTTTTATTTATGATTTTGTTAATACAAAAAGAAAAAAAAAAGTAAGAGAAACCTTGATTAATTTATACTAGTTTAAAAATATTCAACATGTTTAAAAATAGATTAGAAAATGAAAGAAATTAATTTTATATATACTTTAGGAATAATTTTTTCATTTAACT